TTTACTAATCTTCTTTTCCTCCTTTTTCTTAAAGCTTAAACCTTTTATTACCTTTTATTCTCTCTTATTTACTTAAAAAACTTAGTAAGTAGTGAGCCGGTGAATCACACCAGAAATTTACTGTTTTATGTCAACTCTGAGTGGAATTTTATAAAAAATTATAACTTGTGTTTACTTATTCATATAATATTTTTATTAATGTTTGTATGTTTATTCTGTTCATATATCTAAAAATAAATTACTTTATTTTGAGAAATCTGTTCAGGTCACAAGTTCTTTTCACATTCATGATCAGAGGGGTATTTCATGATTTCCTGATTTCCTTCTGCAAGATCTTGTGGGACATGACTTTATGAGATTAAGCTGGTATTAGTCTCATGGAGCAGGTTCTTACACAATCAGATAGAATTTTTTGCACAAGTTTTAAAATTACACACAGCATTTAGTTTTTCATGTCTTTTACTGTCTACTCATGGCAACATAGGGGACCAGATACATATCCTTCACAGGGGCTCCAAATGTCTAGGGCCAGCCTTGCCCCCACTCACTCCTAAAAATCAACACCACCTGTCTGTACAAATATTAATACCAGGATTACCTATGCTACAGTTTTAAAATATCACCCTTTTCTTTATAACACCACATAAAGCCAGAATCACCCATTCAGTGTCAAGTTTTATCTCTTTAAGCTTCAACCAGTGAACAATCTCATTGTGATGACATTATTTTTCTTAACTTTGAACTTTCTTGTCATTAAAAATCCTTGAATGTTAAAAACCACAAGATTGGTAATAATCCAAGTAAACAAAATCAACAGAATCAATGTAAAACCTATAATGTATGTATTTTTCATATTMGATCATTAAATGCATTGATCAAAGTACAGTTATGCCACTATTTCGTTCCAAACTGAACAAATTTGTCATCTAAATTGACAAAACTATGTCTAATAAAAAGATCCATATTTGCAGACAATTTATGATAAACTACAAACATTTGAAAGTTTCACTTTAACACAAATACGAGTCATGGAGACAAATAGGCTATAAAAGCTTAAATGAAGACACACCTTTGTTTTAATGCTAATCATACATTTAGTGTTATCAAAAAACTGAAGCAGCAGACAATGAAAATCAAAACAAAACTAGAGCGCAGCGCGCTGCCGCTATGATCAGATTTAACTACAACAAGCTTCCCTTACCTGTTGGTCGATGATGTTGTCTCAGTGATCATCAGTGCAGGTGATCACCAGACATGTCTCCCCTCCCCGGTCCAGTCCTCTCTGCTCCTCCTGCACTCCTCCACCTATCTGCTCCTCTAATGCTTGCTATATTTGTTGTACCTTTGTTTAAAACTATATTTCTGTATAAATCTGAGTATTTTGTCTTGTATTCCTGGATAATACAGGGTCAATGCTGAGATATGTGCCAGGAGGAGCTGAAGGCCAGGAGGAAGATTCAGCTGATCAACATCCAGCAGATCTGTGGACTTGTCAGCTGAACCCACCATCAACTCAACAGTTCATCTACAGACACAAGTCAGACACACAACTGCTACTTTCTTTCTTTTGTAGAGTCATTGCACAGGTCTTTTTAAATAATGATGGTATTTATTCATTTAGTGACTTTGTTAATGCAAAAATAGCTGTAGTATTTTATCAAAGTTTTATTTTCTCCAATTACCGTTCACTTGTGTTTTCATATTCTAATATTTGCAAATCTGTTTTCAAAACAAGAATGAGAAGTTATTATTATTATTA